TAGCTTCCCATTCATCTCCCATTCACCCCATCTGCCACATGGGCCAGCCCACTGGACGGGAGGTGACAGTGTGCTGGACAGACATTCTGAGGACTGCAGAGGCCTCCTGTGGACCCTGCTCTCTTGCAGCTGACCCATCAGCACACTATACTTCTATGAATTGGTGGAATGGAGACAGTTTTTTTTTTTTTTCAAGATGTTTGAGTCAAAACGATCTTGATGGGGAACTGAGAGAGGTCTCAGGGAAACAGGACTGGGGGACAGGATTTGGCTGAGGCTTTCAACTGACGTCAGACAAGACTGCAATCAAGGGAAAGCAGACCTGGGGCCAATGGGCAGCCACACGAGATGAGAAATACCAAAATGTGGACCATCCAGGTGGCCAGGGGACACAGCTCCAAAAAAGTGAGTGTGGTGCTGGATTAGCCTCACTGGAGGAACTGGAGGTTCCACTGGATGGTGCTGGTTTAGTTCCATTGCCCTTTAGCAAACCATGTAAACAGATGCATGTTCTAGATGTGAATTTGCATTTCCTGCTTTCTCTCAGCAAGATCACCCGTGGACTAATGGAATGCCTTATTCACCAGCATGGTATTCCATATTGCTTTTAATCAAGAAACAAATTTCACAGAAAAGAAAGTGAGGCAATGGCTTGTGACCAGGTCATCACAGTCATACTGCACACCTCACCAGGAGGAAGCTGCTGGATCAACAGAAGGGTGAAACGGCCTTGGGAAGACTCTGTGACAGTGCCACTTGGGAGCCATCCTGAAAGGCTGCAGTGCTGCCCCAAAGGCTCTGCTTTGCATGTGTTGTCTCTCCCATAACCAGGATTCATGGGTCTGGGAATCAAAGGATGGAAGTAGGGGTGGGTCCTCTCACCTGTCCCGTTATCTGGAGTTCTGCTGGTTTGGAGGGCTTGGTTTTCAAAGGAGGAATCCTTCCAGGAAACACAAGACAACAGCTCACTCAATTGTACACTGAGGCGCATTTGGCTGCCTTGGGCCCTTCTGGGCACTAAACCAACAAGCAAATAAGGGGTTTACTGGCTTGGGGGAATTACCAAGAGGAGCAAATGCTGCTACATCCTAGGGGCAGGGAGAACTGTCCAGGACCCGGAATTTTCTGGGGTCCCTCTTACAAATGGCAAAAATGAAAAACTGTAACAAAGGAATAACAACTAATTCAGACACCCTAGGAATAAAGGCTTGGATCAACCATACCAAAAACGAATCCTGACCAGCGGAGATCCTGGCTGGGGGCAAAGGAAATACAGAACAGGCAGTGGAGGAGGAAGCGATCCATCACCTACAGCCTCGTGATCGCTACAGACGATGTACACATTCTTGCTTGCTGTGTGCACACTTTTCTTCTCTCCCCTCCTCATTATTTCATGCAATTTTTGTTGGAAGTAAACTTCACCCTTAGTGTTTAGGTACCATTCTCTTGTTCTGTATTCTACTCAGATGGAACTGAAACTGAATTAGAAGAGTCAACACAGCTCAGAGATTGACAGTGACTCATGGGCTTTACACGTCCTTTTTGGGAGGGTAACAGCTTCCAATTAATAACACTTTCTTGGGCACAAAGAATTGCTTTTGTGGTAGGACAGAAGTTGAAAGGCGTAGAAGGCTGTGCACAGATGCTGAATGGCTAACAGGGGCTTGTGCCAGTTACAAAGCTCTTGTCCCTCAGTTCCACATCCGCTCTTTTTAGTTCTGCTTTTGTGATAGCAGGGATAGAACTCTGCAAACATCTCTGCTTTGCCAGCTGGCATCCTGTTGGGTTCTTGCAGCAGGGTGCACTCAAGGGAAGCTTCCACACTGCAGGAAGAAGGGGCACGCTCCTTCCCATTCCTGTCAGCATTGCTGCAGCAGTTCTCACAGCTGTGGGTGATTTCAGTTGCCATTTCTGACCTGCTCAGAACCAGCTTCATGATGGCCTCAAAGACCCAGCAACAGGTGAGCAACACTCATCCTTAGGGCGCTTCTGGAAATTGCTCCTTCCTTAATTCTTGTGTGGGTTTCTTGCTTTTTTGATTACTGTGTCAGTAATTCTTTTTATCGCATTGTTGAAATAACTGGCATCATTTCTGTCTCCCGTTTGAACTATGACTGACACACAGAAAAGAGATTTCTATCTACAGAAACTAAGTCGCAAGTGTTGTTTTAAATCCTTTGTCAACAATAACTGAGGCTCAGCAAAACCTCTTTGTCCCTCAGTATTCCATGTGGGCACCAGTCATCGGCATGCCCCGTGTGTCCCTCTTTAGGCTAAGCTACTTAATATAACTAAAACATTCAAGCTCAGGACAACTGATTTCTTACATCAAAATCGAATTTTTTTTTTCTTTTTTTTTTTTGAGACGGAGTTTTGCTCCTTACCCAGGCTGGAGTGCAATGGCGCGATCTCGGCTCACCGCAATCTCTGCCTCCTGGGCTCAGGCAATTCTCCTGCCTCAGCCTCCTGAGTAGCTGGGATTACAGGCACGCGCCACCATGCCCAGCTAATTTTTTTTTTTGGTATTTTTAGTAGAGACGGGGTTTCACCATGTTGACCAGGATGGTCCCGATCTCTTGACCTCGTGATCCACCCGCCTTGGCCTCCCAAAGTGCTAGGATTACAGGCGTGAGCCACCGCGCCCGGCCCAAAATCGAATTCTTTAAACTTTCTTCTATTCCAATATTCCTTACCCCAAGTTAAGGAGAGTTACCAACCATATTTTGATAATGAAAATGTAAATTGAGTTGTGGCAATGATTAATACCAATCAGAGAATATTCTCACAAATTTGTGCAGTGACGTTGCCATTGCCTGGACTATTCCACATATTTTGTTTTGGAATGCAGTGAAGATGGAGACTCAGACACTGAAGGGTAGAGTTAGTGACAGAACCCCCGCTTCCCTTGTATTGACAAGTCCACGACCTGGTTCTTGCTGATATTTTCCATTTATTACTGCAGTAGATAATTGCTCTGAAAGTGCAACACTAAATCACTCGTCATAGCCTCTGCTCCATTTCCACTGGCAAATACTTGGAAATTCATTCTTTGAGCACTGTGGCCGACAAGCTTCTCTCTGGCTGGAAAATTATTGCCACTGCCAATATCACAGGGCACGCACATGCGTGAACAGGATTCAAAAAGCAGAGCACTGGAGAGGAGTGAGGGCCAATTTCAAACAGAAAACCCAGCAAAGGGGTTAGAGGAGAACAGCCCTAACTGCAAAGTGGAGACCGACCCTACACTCTCCAGTGGCAACGTAACATTCTGGTGATTGTGGCCCGGGCAGACCTTTTTCCCTTTGTCTCTAACAGCTGATACCATAACCATAACCGTGTCACATCTCAGCACATCAGAGGCCCAGAGAGTAAGAATAGATGAAAAGACCTGTCAGGCTAGTCTGGAAAAATAGATGGTTTAGATAAACTGACGATTTAATCTCCCACTGAAACCTGTTAGGCAGAGTATCTGGGAGAACACGGGGTGTAAGATGCGGCCTAACTGGCATAACCCCTTGCTCTAACCAGCATAGGGTATGTTTTTGATGGAAAAGACAACTTCAAATACTACAACAACAAAGAGGAAGGGGGAACATGAGCAGCTCTAGAAAACATAAGATTCAAAATCTGAACCAAAACCAAAACCAAACACAAAAAACTATGGACAACACACCTAACCAGTAGGCCTGGCCACTCACGCGTAAGCACACTGTACACATACACACTGACTTCCCCCACACACACAACAGTCAGGCAGATTCCCAAACGAGGGCAAATCCAAATATCTGCTCTTTGGAATTTTCATGGCAAATTTGAGTTTAGGCAAAAGTGAAGACCTCCCTGGGGTCAAAACAATTCTCAGGAGGCAGCTTTGCTCCGCATGTAGCCAATGGTGCTCTTATATTTGCCTGAGCCCTTCACAATTGTCTGGACACCAGAATGCATTCTTCATATTCCTGGAGTTTAAATTGCTGCTAGATCTTCTTAACTGATCTAACTTTACCTATAATAGAAGCACCTCCCTTTTGGCCCCTGTACTCACTGTTCTTTCAGGAAAAAAGCATCCCACAACAGTGGTCACTAGAGGGTGTTCAGGAACGGAAAAGTAGGAAGAGAGTAATATAAACACAATAAGGAAATGCCTGTTACTCTCATATGATTTCTCTGAGACCAGGTGGCCAAGCATCCCCTAGTCTTCAAGGATATGTTTTAAAGAGAGGCCTTAATTTAAGGTACTACAATCTTTGCTCACAAGAGCCAAGTAAGACAGTGCTACCTGGAGGTTGCTACAGGACTCTTACTCAATTTATCTGAATCCTAGGTGCTCTTTCGACCTCTCTGACTTCAGTCCTTCTGAAGTCAGATCACCCAGCTTCTCTGATGAGTGACTGGTCATTTTTAAAGCATGTGTGCAGTAGTCTTCAAGAGGTTTCTGCCTGGGCATCACAGATCAGCACACATTTGCTCATACACATACCAGGTGATGAGAACTCAACCACTGCAGATGCAGAGCCATGCAAATAAAGCCACCCAGCAAGGTCACCTTTTCTTCAGATGTCCCAGTTTCAGGATGATAGAATTTGCAATATTAAGTGTTAGCAGGCCTGGCAATAACCAGCTTTTGCTTCTCTTCCTCAATGAGGGACATGTCAGAAACAGGCTTGACACATAGGCTCTGCTCATACAGGAAAATGATATCAGTCACTGCCCTCAGCTCCAAATTTCTGTGCTTGGAACCTACATTATAACCTAGCTCCTAATCAAACTGGCTTCTGCTCCAGCTTAGTTTTCTAGGGCATTCCCTCTAAGCTGCCTCAGTGAAACCAGTAAGAGCCACTGGATCACAATTCTAAGTGCAGCAGTGCCTAAGAAGGAAGGAGTCCCACAGGAGAAGAGAATGAAGGGAGCGAGGCAGGAGATGATAGGACTCCTGGACAGTCATCACATCAGTAACACAGCTTCAGAAAGTGTGGACTTGGAGGAGGGGAGAGAAAGAAACAAAATGTCCAATAATTTAATGGCAGAGCTAGAAGAGAGCATTTACAGCTATTCCAGGACTCTCCAACAGAATGCTTTTCCTGGATGCACAGACATTCATAATACTGGTAACTCTCATCAACAGCTCTGGCATGTACACGTGGTCACAGTACCCTTCGTACAGCACAGGAAGAGGACACCAGGATGCCCGAGAGACATCTGGACAGCACACAGCGAATAGAAAGGCTGAACACCCCCCACAGAACCCCGTTAAAAAACAATGTTTGTCTATTACAAAGTCATGTTTTCCATTTTTCCGCTTTATAAAGTCAGCGATGCTGGAGGGTGTCTAGCGGAATCCGTCCTCCAGGAATGAGTGCAAAAGGGGAGCGCACGGCTCAGGGACGTCCCTTCAGTGAGCAATGGAAGGACTGGCTGGAGGCCTCCCATCCATTTCGGACAAATACACACATACAGAAAAGGATTATTGCCAGCTTGTGTACTTTCACAATGTGATTTTTGTATTTCGAAAGCTTGAATTGTCCCTGCAAGAAAAAAATGAGAGAAAATAGAGTGTTCAATACAAGGATCATCTATACAGAACTACACATACACAGGGGGAAAACTGATTCGTCAGCCCTCAGGGTCTCCATGACATATCCCGGGACCTGCTTCACTTGCCAATCTAATGCCAAAAGGGCAACCCACCTCCCATGTCCCTTGTACAACTTTGATTCAATTTTTTGCAACAGAAAAAGATTGGAAACAATTCAAATGCAGATCAAGAGGGGACTGGTTAAATATTAATGCTAGGGCACATTCATAGGAATAAAACAAGGAAGCTCTCTACTTTGCTGTGCAAAGGGCTCCAAGATAAACTGATAGCTTAAGGGGCAGTGTGTACGTTTGGTATGCTACCTGTGTAAGTGGGGGTAGAGAAACAAGGTTATAGGCTCATATTTGCTAACATATATGTTACAAAACTTTGCAAGGCTACACGGGAAACCAACAACAGTGGTTACCTGGGCAGTGGAGGTGGAAGGGACACACTAGAAACCGGGCAGCCTCAGGAGACATTCTCTTTCTCTCCCCCTTTCTTTTTCTCTAACACACACTTTTGAAAAACTGATAACAGGTGGTTATCTTACATGAACAAAAAACCAACCAACCAACCAAATAAAAATCCTCAGTTTAAAGCTTAAAGCTGCTTACAGAAGGAAAGGATATTCTAGGAGGTAAAATGTGGGTACCTTTCAATTTCTCTTACTTTAGAAACATGGCTCTACTTCTTGAAAGTGTGTGTGTCGGGGGTATGTATGTGGGGTATGTGCTCTCTTAGTTGCCTTTTACTGGATATAGACAGGCTTGGCCAGCCACTAGTGACCCTTCCTGTCCCATACTAGAAATCTAATGACGTCTTAGCAGGTCCTGTCACCATCTGAATCTCAAAATTTCAGAGCTGGCAAGGACTTTAAAGGCCACCAGGGGCCGGGCGCGGTGGCTCAAGCCTGTAATCCCAGCATTTTGGGAGGCCGAGGCGGGTGGATCACGAGGTCAAGAGATCGAGACCATCCTGGTCAACATGGTGAAACCCCGTCTCTACTCAAAATACAAAAAATTAGCTGGGCACGGTGGTGCGCGCCTGTAATCCCAGCTTCTCAGGAGGCTGAGGCAGGAGAATTGCCTGGACCCAGGAGGCGGAGGTTGCGGTGAGCCGAGATCGCGCCATTGCACTTCAGCCTGGGTAACAAGAGCGAAACTCCGTCTCAAAAAAAAAAAAAAAAAAAAAAAAAAGGCCACCAGTTGCTGCCCTTGCCCAGTGATTTGGACTTCAATTTGTCGGAAATTTTTACCTGGATTTTAGAGTCATTATTTCCCTTTGATTATAAAGGGACATTCTAGATGCTCTGACTTTGACTCTTTTTTTTAAAGATAGTATCTCACTATGTTGCCCAGGTTGGTCTTGAACTCTCAGGCTCAAGTGACCCTCCTGCCATGGTCTCCCAAAGTGCTGGGATTAAAAGCCCAGCCTGACCTATCTTAAAATTGTTATAATTAACGGGACATATGACAATTGGTTCAGAGTAAATATGTACTAAGGAAAGAATATGCTCAGCCCAGCCAAACAGCAGTTTCTTTCTATTACTGGCTAACCAGTTTTTCTCCATGATGACAGTCAGGGGACAGTGACCAACAGTCCCCACTACACAGAGAATGACTCCAGACAAGAACTGAGACAGGACACTGGAGCTGGTATAGGCAAACTTGGGCTGGGAAGAAACTGATGCTATCTCCAAAGTCCACTGGTATTTTATAGCTGGCATGCATGACCGTGTGCATCAATGGCTACTTAGCACTTCAACTATTTTCAACTAAAGAGCTGAAGGTTGAAAATCAAGTTAATAGGATGGTCATCTTTTTAAAAGGCCAATGATATTTTTTAAAAAACTCCTTTCACGCTTATTATTTTTTTGTCTTTTTGTTTTTTTCCTTTTTGTGGAGAACAGGGTCTCACTATATTGCCCAGGCAGGTCTCAAACTCCTGGTCTTAAGCGCTATCCTCCCGCCTCTGCCTCCCTAAGAGCTGGGATTACAGGTGTGAGCCATAGTACCCAGCTAAAAAACTCTTTCAAAAGGACAGACCCCTCTGAGATGCCAAAGTAGCTAGCAAAGGATAAGGAACATATCTGATCATAACACAGAGAAAAGCAAGCATAACTGATGTGTGTATGTGTTTGATTTCTGAGTTCTCTTAGGGACAATGTGCTGTATTAGAGTGCATTACAAAAGACACTTTTTTTATATCTACACTTAATACGAAAGTGATTACACAGGAGCAGATGGCTCCGTTCCATTTCTTCCTTTTTACTGGCACCCCTATGCCCATCTAATCACTGGATGCCAGAAGTCTATCAGTAGGGAGTCCACTCTTCTTAAAAGAGAGATTAGAGGCTGGGCATGGTGGCTCACTCCTGTAATCCTAGCAGTCTGGGAGGCCAAGGTGAGCGGATCACCTGAGGTCAGGAGTTTAAGACCAGTCTGGCCAACATGGTGAAACCCCATCTTTTAATAAAAAAATAAAAGAGAGACTAGAAAGGCAGGGCTATGGGAAGGTAGGAGCAGAGATGTGCTGACTTGGAGAATTCTCCATACTGAAGTGACGGAGATGGCAGCCAAGTGTCTGGCCTCAACTCTTTCAGCTGTTTAGTGACGGAAAGAGGATTTCTGGGTAATCATTACCATAAGCAGGTCATCTTATCTTCTGGAATTCCTCTACTGTGTTAGGTGGGCCAGAAATAAATTCTTACTCTGTAACAGATAAACTGGATAGCTCTAAAAACACTTTCTCATTCAGATATTTAGTATTTTTGTTATTATAGACCACTTTATTATAGTCAGAAAACCTAAGAAGTCATATCATTCTGAGGTCCATTTGCAACATGAAAAGGGGAGAAGAGTAAAGGAAAAGCCAGTAAAGGAAAATAGTTGAAGAGCTAAGTAGCCATTGATAAATGAACCACACGGTCATGCATGCCAGCTATAAAATACCAGTGGGCTTTTGAGACAGTATGAGATAGATTTTCCTCCTAAATCAAACTGGAGAAACTCAGCTAGATTCTCCAGTTTGATTTAGGAGGAAAACAGAACAGCAAGTAGGGGTGGCCTGCCCCTGACAGTGACAGGCTAACACAGGCTGGTGGCAGTTAGGCCCTATGGCTTTGGTCCAGCCTTTAAAAAAGTGGGTTGAGAGCAGCCTGATGCCAAATTTAGTCTGAGGAATGTGTTCACCTCAGGCCAGCTGGGAAGTGATACTCCATCACACCTCTCACCCTGGGCTCAGCGCGCAGAGAGATTAGAAGGCAGGGAAAGGGAGAATGTAGACAGGAAGGGGCAGAGGCCACAGGTGACCCTTTAAAAAACAATATGCTTCTGTTCTTTTAAAAGCAAACTAAAACTGAGCAAATCCATAGTGAGCTCCTGAAAGCTAGCCCTCCAGCAATCTGGCGAAGCTGTGATAGTGCATGGGCTATGCTTAGGACGCCAAAGAGGACACAGAAGCTGACGATCCCACAATGCTGGAAGAAATCAAAAGAATTCTTTCTCTACTTCGTATTCTTTTGTACTGACGATATCTCAAAAATATCCGAGAGCCCCATTCAGAATGGCTTCCACCTTCACGTACCCAGATATCTTGGGGAAAATCGCTGTCCAAATACTCGGAAACAGCTTTCTAATCTGCTCTACCTCAAAATGGTCACCTTTCAGTTCTTTTCAGAAATAGACAAGTTCCAACTCTGGAAACAATGAAGTAAGGCAGAGATTAATTCCTGAAATGGACAACAGAGGGGCAAAGCGGTCACTCAGAATGCCTCCCCTCTCTTGGAGTTACCTGCCACTGTGCTGGTGCCTGGCAAGGGCACCTGAGTGATTCTGGGTTCTCAGGTGAAAGCTGGGAGTCATCCAAGGAGGAACGCTACCTATGTCTCTGCTCTGAAGAGTGGCTCTGAGGGGGTGCCGTAGACCTAAGTGCATATGGTCTTCAGAACATTCTTTGGCTAGCAACTGTTCACCTCAGGCCAGTTCTGGCTTCCTCTTCTCTCCCTGCATATTTGGTAATGCTGCAAACTCTTTCTAGTTCCAGTGAGGTAAATTCCAGTCTCTCCTCTTCAACTTTATTTTATTCCAATTTCATTTCCCAACAATACAGATTCATTGTTCTGTGTATAGCAGCCCAGATGGCTAAGTAATCAGAATCCTTTCCGATCAGCTCACTGAGACTTTTACTGAAGTCACAGTTAAAAGGGCTATCCTTATTTGCAACGGAAGTCAAATGAAATTGTCCTAAAATACTAGCAATCATATGTAATTACATAAAATAGCAGATAAATTCAGGAAAAGCATTTATGATTCATGAAGAATTATTTAAATAGCAGTTTTTCTACCAAATTTCTTTAGAGATCACGATCTATTTGGAAGAAAAGAAAAGGGAGAGAGGGAGAGAAGGCTAAAATGTTAAGGGGCCTTTAAAATGGCAGACCCAACAAACATAAGCTAGGCATGCAGATCTTCTCAGAACACCCCTTCCACTTACAGTGAGGTTAAATCAAGAGATGGAACGTGAAGTCCTTTTCAAGTCTATTAAGATAATGAAGTGAGTGGATTTTTAAAAATTCATTTTTCCCCTATTTTCAGAATTTTTGGTTTAAATTCAAACACTCCTCATGGACTTCCAAGCCTGTACTTAAGGAAAATACCTAAACCATGAGTGTTCTCTTCCTCTGCCTCCCACGCTGTATGAAAAAGATATGGGGGGCCACAAAGAGACCATACAATGGCAATTATGCAAATATGTGGCTTTTTACAGAAATTCAAAGATATTTTTCCTAGGGAATTAGCGTCTGTCAAGAGGGGAGGAAGCCATTTTAAGTTTTCTTCCATTCTGACCATTCTACTTTCATTTTAACAACTTTTTTTTCACTGAACCTCAGATGCCATCAATTTTTAAAAGTACATCATTTTATGTATTTTAAGAAGTAAACACTGCCCATTACACTATAACAAAACCCTTTTAAATCACATTCACTGTAAGCATCCTATTTTTGGGGGTGGGGAGAGGGGACAGAGTCTCATTCTGTTGCCAGGTTGTAGTGCAGTGGTACAATCTTGGCTTACCACAACCTCTGTGTCCTGGGTAGCTGGGACTACAGGCACCTACCACCACATCCAGCTAATTTTTGTATTTTTAGTAGAGATGGGGTTTTACCACATTGGCCAGGATGATCTCTATCTCTTGATCCGTGATCTGCCTACCTCAGCCTCCCATAGTGCTGGGATTACAGGTGTGAGCCACCCTGCCCAGCCAGCATCCCAATTTTAAGAATATTCAAAGCCTTACAGAAGGAATAGGGTTGAAAAAATATATATATTAAGAGCCAAAATAATCTTAGAAATAATTAAATATGGCAGTATTTTTTAAAACAACTCCATTATAGCACCAGGCTTCTGAAAATTTAACTTACTATCTTATTTCAAATATTGACAATTTTTAAGCCTACAAATCAATGGTTTATCTACTATTAGAGCTCGTACCTTGTTCCTCCCTCCTTGTGTATACTGGCAGCCCTCTTGGAATTCTATGTTGATTCTATATACCTATATATACAGACACTTATATATATGCACACACACATACACATATATATTTAGAAGCAGGGTCTCACTATATTGCCCAGGCTGGCCTTGAACTTCTGGGCTCAAGTAATCCTCCCACCTCTGTCTCCAAGTAGGTGAGACAATAGGCATGTGCCATGATACCAGGCACTAACAGTGACTATATTTTAAAGAGAAGCCTTTTAAATTTTAAACCACCAGAAGACTGAATTTACAATAAAGAAATCAAACTATCAAAACAAAAAGGTATGGGTGGCATCACCTGTGTGTGTAGGAACTCTGCAACTGTGTTTTATCTGTATATCATATCCACACCCCAGAGCTCTCAGGCCCCTGGCCACCTGCTGCTGTCCCTCAGTGTCATCTTGTCTCTTCTAGCCCATGTGAGGGATGCAGGTCTCCTTTCTGGAAAACCCTCAGCTCCTTCTTGGGAAGGGGGAATTGTGTGGTAGCTCCTGCTGTGAACATGTTCTGTTCCAATTTCAGAAATACTCAGTTTCTTAGGGATGGTAGTGGCAGGGGTAGTCTGATGTCCAGGAAAAGGCTCTCATCTCCAGCACATGCAGATACTGGCCTTGCATCCATTCTTCTCATTCAGAATAAATTTACTCAGCTCCCTCTGCTACAAAGACAAACATGGACTTGATACTCTCCTAACTGAAATACAAATATTCCCAAAGTCAATGCTTTAGTTGTCCCAGCTTTGAATCCCAGTGCCAGTACAGTTGTGCTGGTCTAGTGAAAGAACAGCTTGGAACTGTCACTTACACAGTCCTGAATCCCAGCCCCTGCTACTGACACTGCTGAAACCCTGAATTTATTTTACTGTTTCCTCACAACTGACAAATGACACCAGCATACAGGAGACATACCTCTCATGTAACTCATGTTGGGGCCTGTGGAACTGCCCTTTTAGTCACAGACATTGCCAGATGGCTTAAAAATGGCCACATTTGAGCAAAAGAAAGCCCATCTGTGGCACATTTTTACCATCATGAAATGTTAGCATCAAAAGAGAGCTCAGAGGCTTGTTCATCCATGGAGCCTCATTTTCCAGAAGGGAAAGTAGGGGCATAATGAGGTGAAGTGGCCTGCTCAGGGGTTCACCAGGAGACATGGGACCCAGGGAGGATGAGAATCCAGCAGTTTGGGACTCACATTCTTCTCTGAGGCTCTATGGTGGCAGACGCAAGTTTGGGGATAAATGGGAAGAGGGCATCCCCTTGGGAAGAGGGGTCCTATGGATGAGAGGTATATCACAGGGTTACAGAGAAGATAGACAAGGCCCTACCCTGAGTGTGAGAGACAGAGGGGGAGCGTCCGATCAGCGGCCGCTGCTGTTCACCAGGCCATGAAACTCCTCCCAGGCCCTGGCAAACCAGAGACAAAAACACAACAGCACATTCAGATCAAAAGCTTTTGAACACAGAGAGCAGACACAATAACCCCACATCCCCCTTCAGATGCCCTTCAAGCTAAGTGGAGCCACAGGTACCTGGGAGCAGAGCAGCGAGGTCCCAACTGGACTTTCCGAGGAGCAGGGCAGCCTACCCTTCAGGGCCAGCAGGCACTTCTGCTTGTTTCACTTGGGAAGTCTGCCCCTGTGCCCTCAAGGATTTGCACCAGTGTTCCTTCAACAAGGCTCCAAGGGAGGCCAATGAGGTCAGAGCTGAAGCTCAACTGTCACCGGAAACACTAAACACTTCCAATTTACACTGGTACTCCTTGTCCTTTCTGCCTTGGGTATGTGGGCACAGGTGGTAGAAACCATTTTTCTTCATTAGGCCTCACTCTGAGGGTAAAGGCCAGTTTCCAACAACATTATGATGTCTAAAGATGCAAGGAGAAAAGTATACACATTCTCTGCTTTCGTATTTCCAACCTTCTAACGCTTCTAAGCTCAAATCTTAAATGTGTCCGTTCCACCTGCTTAAGTACCTATGAAACTACTATCTGAAAATTTAAAGTCACGGCAGTTCAAAATTTCCAGGGAACAATGCCATTACAACTTTCATGCTTATTAGCTTAATTCAGAAATTAGGGTTAGGAAGGGTTAAGAAATGTGACAGAAGGGGTATGTGGCCTCTCAGAATGGTGCTCCAGAGAAAAGGCCCTTGGTGACTGCCGGACTAATCACAGGAGAAAACTAGACCCCCTGTGCTTCTGGAGGCTCTAACCCAACTCAAGTGCTCTCAGGGGAGGTGATTTCCTAAGCCCTAGCCACTTTTCAGCCCCAAAATCTGATGAGTTCCTTGGGAATTATATATGAAGTATGGTGCTTCCAAGTCTGAAGTTCCTCATTATTATTAACTCCATCCTTGGTTTAATTTGGTGACACAGTACCCAGTGTGACAATCCACCACATCTACTTTTTACAGGAGGTAGAACTGCAGTTCATGGTTTCTTCGGAGAATTATTACCAGAGCTTCCAGTGTAAGTGCTAACTAAACTCAGGAAAAATCTAAGACTGCCAAATGAGCATGCCAGTCTTTGTCAATTCTCAAACTCAGTGTCCACAGCAAGACACCTGACACCTGTTTCAGAGCTCTTTCTGGAAAGATGGTGATGTGATGTACTTTGTGAATCCCTGAGTGACATTAGAAGGCAATCTCATGCTTTACTCCAAATGAAGACAAGGGCAAAGCAAAATCCAATGCTTTGGCAATGACTCAGGGAAACCCCTCACTGTAACGGTGAGATTTAAATTCCTTTTTAAACCACTTAGGTGTCAACGAGAAATTACATGGCTGTGTTGAAGCTACATGTTATTTATCCTTTTGTTTCCAGGAAGGGCCATCCTTACACTATCCTATATGGAATGGTTCTATGAAGAACCTGAAGAAATACAGACTTCACCGCTCCCTTCTACTCCATTCCAGTATTACATTTCCCTCCCAGTTTCTTCTTTAGTATCTTCACTATATGTTAAACCTCAACATGAAGAATCTGGGTTAAGAAATTTCCTCACAGCTGCATGTGGTGCCTCATGCTGTAATCCTATATTTTGCGAGGCCAAGGCAGGTGGATCACCTGGGGTCAGGAGTTCGAGACTAGCCTGGCCAACATGGTGACAACCCGTCTCTACTAAAAATACAAAAAAAATTAGCTGAGCATGGTGGCAAACACCTGTAATCCCAGCTATTTGGGAGGCTGAGGCAGGAGAATTGCTTGAACCCAGGAGGGAGAGGTTGCAATGAGCTGAGATTGTGCCATTGCACTCCAGCCTGGGTGACAAGCGTGAAACTCTGTCTCAGAAAAAAAAAAGAGAAAGAAATGTCTTCACATGGATTTGGTGGAAATAAAATAGTGGGCCATAATTTTTGGTGTAACCCCTCTTATTCTCATAGGCCAACAGCTCAGCCAAGAGGCAAATCTACAACCTAAAACTAGGTGTGAATAGTCTAGTATTTTCCATCTGGCATTCCAGGCATATTAGGTAATATTAAAACTTTCTTCTTTGAAAGGTAAACAAAGAACAAGTTAAATGTAAAAAGTGTCATATGACTGGAGTTTCTAAAAACAGAAAAAAATTACTGAGATTAATATGACCAACAGGGAATTCTGAAGAGATACAAATGACAGAGGAACAAAGAGCTCTTTTAAGATGACTCTTGTCCCATCTCACGTACCAGAAAGCAAATTCACACCTCCCCTACCTCTGTCCAAAGCCTACAAGGATCGTAGCCGTGCACTCACCAGCTCTCAATACTTAGGGAGGGGCTCAGCTTCCTGCTAATCTGGGCTCTCTTTGCTTTGACTACCAGTTTGGTGGTACATATTACAGATGCAAAGCCAGGCCAGCAATTATGCTGGGGGAACCTGGTGCACTGGACTATGATTTAGCCATGCCAGAAGGGATAGGTTGGTCCTTGCCTATATATTAAAGTTCAGTGTTGAAATGCAATGGTATCTAGATGTGGGGAAGTCCCCACAATTTGACCTGTCTCTCCTCTAAGATAAAGGAATAAAGAGGAATCACCCACCTTCCACTCCCTCTGCAGAAAAGCCAGGCCAGTCTTTCCCAATGCTGGAGCCCTCTATGGGTAGCTGACCTGTTTTCCTTTTCCATTCCAGGCTAGATGCACAAAAGGAATCAGTGGGACTAATCCAAAGAGGAGTTTCTTCACAAAAGAGAGTGCTGTTTCACATGGCTCCGAGCCCAGTTTGATCCTGGTGGCCCCATGATTCTGACTGTATTATGAGATTTCTCCTCAAAGCAGAGAATATGGGGAACTCACATCTATGAAAACTCCACTAAAAGTTGGTCTCACTAAAAGGAGCCATGACCTGAGCAAAAACTCAGTTTAACAAGCTGTCCACGTCTTAGGGGTGAACTGTCAGCAATAAACAAAGAGCAGGAGCCCTCTGCAGCACAGCAGCTCATCACCAGCTCTGTGTGGCCTACAGTGCCTTATAGCTCACTGAGGGGTGCAGCAGGAAAAGGCCACAAGTAGGGTGACTGGGGAAAGGGTGGAAAAACCCAACGGTTGAAGAAGGACCTTGGAAACTGGGCCAAAAATAGCAAACAGGAATCAGGAACACCTGACTGAAAATCTAAGCCACTCCTAAAAAAAACTCCCCTCACCACCAGCAGCCCTATTTCCAGAGTACTTGAATGAGAATAAATGTTGGCTCTTTCGTCCTTCATTTTCCTTGGAATTATTTTTTTTTTTTTGAGATGGAGTTTCACTCTTGTTGCCTTGGCTGGAGTGCAGTGGCACAATCTCGGCTCACCGTAACGTTCTCAGGTTCAAGCGATTCTCCTGCCTCAGCCTCCTGAGTAGCTGGGATTATAGATGCCCCGTCACTACGCCTGGCTACTTTTGTATTTTTAGTAGAGATGGGGTTGCTCCATGTTGGCCAGGCTGGTCTCGAATTCCTAACCTCAGGTTATCCACCCATCTCGGCCTCCCAAAGTGCTAGGATTACAGGCGTGAGCCACCTCACCTGGCCTCCTTGGAATTCATAAGACTCAGTAGCTGCTGTTCCTTGGCTCAAACAAAGCCATATCCATGGAAGAGCCACAGGGAATAGACAAAGCAGAACTAGTTCTGACTTTTGTTCACACTGGCAAGGGTCAGAAGGGTCTCAAGGTCAGTTTGGTGCTTTCTAATCGATTCTTACTCCGGGAGGTGACATCAAGTCTATCCCCTGGAGCAGTTACAGTACAGCTGAAATGAAGGTCAATGCACATAACATGATTTTTGAAAGCATAAGGGAAAGGCCAGACAGGGTAATTCTTTGACAAATACTAAAACATAGAGAATGGGCCTTTCCATATTCCAGCAAATCTCTCATTTTATAGGTACTTCAACCAATTTTGAATATGTACTAAACAAAGATGCAATGACACAAACACCCCTAGAATGCTGAGACCACAGTGCTAATCCTAATAGGTGTGATGCGGGATCTTGGGCCACACGGAGACCAGGGGGAAGGTCAGGATAGTACAAGCACAGGGTATCATTGCCAGAGTGGAACAGCCACTCTGGAAAACTCAACCTTAAATCCACAGCCACTTTCACAGATCCTCTCAGGCAGCCTGACCCAGTGTTTGTAAAAAAAAAAAAAAAAAAAAAAAAAAAAATGATTGTTTATTTTTGTTTTTGGTGGTAGCTCCTAAGAAATCCTAAAGTAGCATGAGGCTTGCTGAAACTCTACATGCAGGTTAGGGGCCTAAAGGCCAAGCTGCAGCACATACAAGCTAAAGCCACAAAGCACACAAGGGGTCCGTATGTGCTACAGTCAGATATCCTACAGAGCAAACTCACACGGGATGAAGACATTGCCCTACCCCAGATCCTGATGCACAGTAACACCGGGCCCAGGAGAAAGGGAAGGGCTGTAACCATGAGATCTTGCAAGCAGGGCTAACTCAAAGAGGAAGATGTCCTGGCTCCAAAGGGAAAGCAGAGGGAGAAGGCTGGAAAAGAGCTGTGGCTTGGGCAGCTTTGGCACCAGCGAGAGAACCCCATTAGCACAAAGCACAGAAGCTATATACACACAGCCACGCAGACGGAAGCAGGGATTTACCTCCAAGTAAGAGATTTCTCTGAAGTAAAGGCGAATGGAAGTCAGCGAAGCAAAGGCCAAGGATCCCCCTTTCCAACCTGAACAGACCTTCAAGCTGAATTCTAAGTCAGAAATCACTCTGTTCTGGTCATCGGCGTGACTAGATGGGAACTCAAATTTAATTACCAGAAAATGGGGTCTTATTTTGAAAGCTAGATGTCACCTTATTATGTCAGGCCTCAGCAGTCCTGGAACAGAATACCACATGACACTACACAATGGGCTTATGAAAATGAGGCTGCATTCCCCGGATGGCCCTCCATGGAAAAGTCTGTGCCATCCCTTAATATGGTGACAGTGAGTCCGAAAGGCCACATCTTTGATGCACCATAAAGAGCAAGAGCATGAGACAAGCTAGTTTAGCACCATTTATTAAGTGATCTCAGCTGTTGTTGTAGCTGCTGCGTGTCAGCCTGTTCTTAAAACATAAAATGCTCTTCCAATTCCTCTTGTCCAGGACAGAAGGATCTTCCAGGTAGCACGCCAACAGAACAAGAGACTCCGATGACGCCAGCTTCAATGATGGTGCCATCCAGAGAGGGAGAGGGTCATGGCACATTCAACCGCGGCTTCCAGAGGTTTTGAAAAAGGAGCCTTTGGGGGCCCAGCCTGCCTGGCATTCTAGTGGAAGTGCAAAAGGTTGGCTCATTGGGAGAGGAAAGAGAGGGGGATGTAAGGGAAAGTAGCATCTGGGTCTCAAAGAGGGTTGGTTTTCTGGTCTCTACAGCTACAGGGCTGAAGTCCCAGAGGCAGCTGGATAAAGCAGAGAGCAGCAGGCCAGTCTTTCTGATAGACTCAGGCAAAAAGCCCACAGGCTCTCCTCAACTCTGTAAGGATGTGTACACATGTTTCTACAAAAGTCACGAAGAACTATCTCATGGTATTAGAAAGGGAGAACAGCAAAGAAGGGGAGAATTGATGAAAAATACCTCTTTCCCTCTCCTATCCAGGTGAACAGCTTATTTTGGGGGTGAGTGGGAGTGGGGGATATTTAGAAACCTTGAAAACAAGAATCCTAGAAAAAGGTGTAGATATCTCCAGCCTGGACTGAATCTGGCGAGAGGTCAGAAGCTACTTCTATCCCAGAACAGAGAATAAGAAAAATGTGCCTAGAGAAAAACAATGCTAACATAGGACTGCTAAGGCAAGCAACCAGGGCCATGGCTGATTAGCAACTGTTGGTGACTATGATGAGTCATCACTAGCTGTTTGATCATGGACCAACTCCCATAGCAGGGTTCCCACTTAAAACCTGGCACTTAGCTGGTTTAAGCCGACTCCACTCATCACATTATCTGTGGATGCATGGGAAAGAGATTCCCAAATGGTCTGTCTGCTGAACACAATCACTGGGCTCACTACTAGTCTTCAATAATAACAACATGATGATATTCTTACTAATGATGATGAGGATGACAGCAATACTACTACTTGGCCCTGTAAAAAGCATTCTCCACCTGAGGACCCTCAGTTAAAGATTAAATCAGCCTCACAATAGCCTTGTTAGATAAAGTACTGTCTCCCACTTTACAGATGGAGAAACTGAAGCAAAGTTGCAAAGACACTTGTCAAAGGCACCTACTGGTACGGGGCCGTAGGAGAAAACTAAACCTAAGGGTCCTCCTTGCTGACTAGCTCTCCCTCCAGTTTTCAGACAATCTGACAGCCACTCCCCACAACTTTTTCACAAGAACTGAGCTTACTTCTGGCACTCAATCACTGAAGGTGCAAGCCTAACAGTGATTCTGACTGTGGACAGAGAGCTCTACTTCCCTGAGTCCTAGTGAGATTGCAAAGCTTCTTTTCCCTGTGGCCTTCATGCTTCCCTTTGGTTCTGCCCTCTCACACACACACTATCCCCGTTCTTCTATAAGTCAGCTCTATTCACAAGGAAATGGAGTCACTCCTGATAGGTAGTCAATATCCCAGGACAAAGAGACTGAAGCTAACAGGTTAAAAAGACATGCAGAAGTGGGGTGGGGGTGGGCAGAGTGAAATTATCTTAAAAAACAGCAAGAAAAAGAAGAGCACTTGTCTTTCATTTTAAGACAGTGGTTAGCGTATGAAAGACAAAGACAGCCTGTAGAAATTAAGCAAGCCCAGGCAGTGTAACTGGGTTTCTGCAGGGCTCTCTCTGCTACAAAGCCCCTCGTAGTAAAGGTGGCAGGGAGCCTCACTGACAAAGAATTGCAGCAAGTAGCCAGAAGGCCTAGAGGGAAGGACTGGTCTGTCCCTTCTCCACAAGTAAGTCTCCTGTCCGGCCATATTTCTCTGGGCCCAACTACAGCTCTACTTCTGCTAAGCTTAGGGACACATCCTCCCACAGCCCCCAACACGTACTTGATGCTGTCGGTGTGGGTTTTGTACTCCATAATGGTGTTGGGAGGTAGGTTAAGCACTCGCCGAAGCGTGTCCCGGATTCGGGCTGTGGTTGCCTGGTCGCTGGCAGTCTTATTCCATATTGAAATAATGTCCTCCTACCAGAGGAACAGAAGGAATCATCAAAGAAAACCAGAGGCAGCGAGAAGAACAAAGGCGACACAAGGAACCAGCCTGACCCACAGGTGCCTTACCTGAAAGCGGACAGACACCACAGCCCCACAGATCTCCTCCCCAACCATGAACTGTTCCCCCAACATGGCCAAAATGAGATTCTCCCAGCAACGGGAGGCCAAGCCCTTCCGCAGCCGAATAATCCACTTGCCGCCATTTTTATTTGCATCATCCTGTAAAAAGACAGAAAGCGCTCAAGTTAAAATACAGTTTCACAGCTTTTTTTTTCTATGAAGGTAGTAAAAAGCCAAGAATCTCTTAAACACTAAGAAGTCCTATTATTCAACTCTATAGAAAAACTGATGGTAGCACTAGTGAGAGAAAAAATGAGGAAACATAGAAAAACAGGGCTGAGATCCTCGGCATAAGCCATTTATTAAAATGGCTAAAAGACCTTTTAAAAATAATCCCCTTTACTGGAAAGACTTTAGGAATCAAAATGAAATGATGTCATATTTCAAGCACAGATGATCCCTTCACTTGCTAAAAGTACTGAGTGTTACTACATACCAAGTACACAGACATGAGGCCCCAATCTCTACTCAGATCCAGTCTGGTAGAAGAGACAGCCAAGAATCTTAATTACAGCAATGCTACTCTAATTACAAGTGCTGCCGTAACAGATATGCACACTAAGTTAAGGAAGTATAAGACAGTTGGAAAAGTCAAGAAGTGGGTCTTTTTTTTTCTTTCCTTTTTTTGAGATGGAGTCTTGCTGTCACCCAGGCTGGAGTGCAGTGGCTCAGTCTCAGCTCAATGCAACCTCTGCCTTCTGGGTTCAAGCGATTCTCCTGTCTCAGCCTCCCAAATAGCTGGGATAACAGGCGTGCACAAATATATCGATTAATTTTTGTATTTTTAGTAGAGACAGGGTTTCACCATGTTGGCCAGGCTGGTCTCGAACTCCTGACTTCAGGTGATCCCCCCACCCTGACTTCCCGAAGTGTTGGGATTACAGGTGTAAGCCACCACACCCCACCAAGAAGTGGGCCTTAAGGGCACCAGGAGTGAGTCAGGAAACGCAGGTGAAGGGCACTGCAGGCACTGGGAGGAACATGTTTGTGCACAAACTGATTGTGAGTTGTGGAATGCAAACAGAAGGGTTCGCCTGCAGAGAAGGGAAGATTTAGAGATGGTGGGAGATGAGGCTTGAAAGGTAAATTAGAGGACAGGCATGGTGGCTCACCCCTGTAATCCCAGCACTTTGAGAGGCTGAAGCAGGCAGATCATGAGCTCAAGAGATGGAGACCATCCTGGCCAACATGGTGAAACCCAGTCTTTACTAAAAATACAAAAATTAGCTGGGTGTGGTGACATGTGCCTGTAGTCCCAGCTACTTGGGAGGCTGAGGCAGAAGAATCACTTGAACCCGGAAGACAGCGGTTGCAATGAGCCAAGATCACATCACTGCATTCTAGCCTGGGTGACAGAGTGAGATTCCATCTCAAAAAAAAAAGAAAAAGGTAAATTAGGTGCAAGATCATGTGAGCAATGAGGAGCTGTATAAGATGGGCGGTGTGGATGTGACCACATTTGTCTTCTAGAAAAATGACATGACATCAGAATAGAAGATGCATTACACCAGGGCGCAACTGAATACTGGCTCTGCAAACAGTTCTAGGTCTCCAGTTACTACCTTTAAGCTTATTTTCTGACCCACTTTAATCATATGTGTACAACATAAAAATATTGCACACACTGCCGGGCGCAGTGGCTCAAACTCATCTCTATGAAAAATACAAAAAACTAGCTAGGAGTGGTGGCACGTGCCTGTAGTCCTAGCTACTTGGGAGGCTGAGGCAGGAGAATAGCTTGAACCCAGGAGGTGGAGGTTGCAGGGAGCCAAGATCGTGCTATTACACTCCAGCCCTGGGTAATAACAAGATCGAAACCCTGTCTCAAACGAACAGACAAAAAAAATTGCACACACATACAAACAAGTTCTATAAAGATAAGAGTAACTGAAAAAAAAAATCCTTTAATGTTCTAATACCATTTTAGTCATAAAACCATCTTTAAAAAACACCCAGCATCAACCCACACAGACAAAAAATAGCATCAGTGTATTTCTCTAGAGGCTCAAGTTCCAAGGATATACCAGATAGTGATGCAGTTTTGAGAGAAAACTTTAAAATACTTTTAACCTTGGGAGGGCTAAGACACAAAACAAAAAAACCCAAACCTGCTCAAAAAAGCAATCAGAGGCCATTAGTCCTTACCTCCCACATGGGTTTAATTCCTTCCTTGAAGAGATGGAAGTCACTGTGGCCTGTCAGGTCTCCAGGACGTACCATGTGGCTATAAAACCTCCAGAACTGCTCCACCTGCAGAGACAAGACCCCAGAGTAAAAAAGGTGTTGGTGTCTTTTCTTTTTCTTTGAATGCATCCAGAGACTGAGATTAAGTTAAGAACATAAGCATGGAAGACACTATACTACAGGCTGTCCTTTTCAGAGGACTCATTCTCATTTGTGGCATTCTGAGGGAAGACATGTTAGAGGAAAAGCCTACCAACTAGTTTGACAAAAGAAAACATGTAACATTGGCAATACAAGAATAAAATCTTTGGTGAGAAATGCTAGGCTCAGCCAGGACCTTCAGCTGGTGAAACCATGTCAATATGCACTTTCCCACTGAAGCTGCGGGGTAGTCATCACGTGCAGTAAGAAGACAGCTTTTTGCACAATGGAAACTCTTTAGCCTTGAGGTATATTAAGTGCCACACAGCCTCAGCAGGAATGCATTTTTTAGAACCAAATCACTTACTGATCAAAGATTGTTTAACTGGCAACACAGCATTTGCTGAGTGAAATATCTCTTAGAGCTGTTAGTTACTAAGCATAAGTGACAGAATCAAGCACGTATACCACACATACCACTCCACATCACGCTAAGACCGGGCCAATCCAAAATCACACAGGACTTAGCTTCTTATAGCTAGAGTTTAAGGCCTTCTTCTTAGCTAGAAAAAGGTTTCTCCTTGCCTCTCCTTCACAATCCTGTGAGAAAGCTAGATTTATATTTTCCTATCAAGTATATGCTTATTTGTATTCATCACAGTAGTCCCGTTTTGCTTATTAGTGTCATCCCCCCCCACTCTTTTTTTTTTTAAGATACAGGGTCTATACAGCAGTATGATCATAGCTTATTACAGCCTCTAACTCCTGATCTCAAGTGATACTCCTATCTCAGCCTCCCGAGTAGCTGGGACTACAGGCTCATTAGTGTTTTGATAGGAGAAATAACTTCCTTATTCACAGAGGATACCTACTAAGTACTGGCCAGTGAAGAGGTACACTTTAAGAGGAAAGAGAAAACATGGTGCAGTCTGATGAGAAATAGCTAGTATTTGCCAACCTGCTGAGGAGCTCGATATCAACATATAGCAAGATACCATAATTGTGGAGCTGACAATGGGTATTGAGTAGACAAGATTCAGGTCATACTTCTAGATCTGAGGAGCACCCAAGGAGAAATCAACCTTACACTGTGTGAAATGGCTGTCCCTTTAGTTCCTCTCTAGCACAAGAATATGTGACACATCTTACATGTTAAATAGAAGTCAGAAACTATAGGACTTCAAAGCAGTGCTTCATATCTCAGCAACTGCTAAGCTTAACTGCATGTAGTGATTTGGGATAGCAACTGGTCATATGAATACAATCAGCAATAATCTAAACCATTATCCACCCTAACATAGTTGCAGAAAAACCACATCTCTCCACTAGAACCAAGTACACCCACTAGTGGCTCACTGTGAATAAGGAACTGAAAGGGGCGTGGAAAGGAGAAAGTATACCAACCATTTCCAATTCCCCAGTCAACAATCACTTCAACACTTTAGTCTCCTCCAATCTTACAACTATACCACTACCTCCAAGGCTCAAGCAATCCTCTGGCCTCAGCCTCCCGAGTAGCCGAGACAAGTGGACACCACCATGCCCAGCTAATTTTTTACTTTTTTTTGGTAGAGATGAAGTTTAACCTGTTGCCCAGCTGGTCTTGAAGTCCTGGATTCAAGTGATCCTCCCTCTTTGGCCTCCCAAGGTTCTGGGACTATGCCTGGCCTAAGAAGTATTATTAAACTTTAAAAGATTTATTTGGATAGTTCTAACTGAAACCAAAAAATAAGCATTCAGACTCAGAATATGAGGTGTAGAAAGGACCTCAGAAATAATCTCAACAACTTTACTTATTTTATAGTTGAGAAAACAGTTACAAGAGTTGCTGTAACCCAGACAGTCAAGCACCAGAAGAGGTTAGCTCTGATGACCAAGTCCAGTGCTCTTTCCATTTCAAGATGATACCTTCCTAATCATGCTGACTTTAGTAACTTTTAAATGTTGTTAATTATTAGGCTAAGAATCACTGGGAAACGCTGCTTTGAATTCAATAAAAGGATTCATCATGTAATTATTTCTTTGTGATGAATTTAACATCGTGAGCCATTTCCTAATGAGGTCTGAATTACATGACAGACTGTATTTCTATTTTTCAGATCCAGACCTACAGAGTCAAAATGACAGACTTTAAATACTGTCACACATCCAGTGAGCAGTGATGAAGCCTTAACCCAAGACAGTCCTGATGATAAACCACTCCTTAACATATATGTCAAAAGGAAAGAAAAGAAAAACCCTCCTTGTATAAGCCAGGTATTCATATATGCTTTTTCACAAAAGGGAAATAAAATTGCAACCCACCTTTTTTTTTTGAGACAAGATCTCACTACGTTGCCCAGGCTAGTTTTGAACTCCTGACTTCAAGCGATCCTCCTTGGCCTCACAAAGTGCTGGCATTATAGGCATGAGCCACCAGGCCTGACCAAAATCTTTAAAATCAGTAGTAAACCTGTATCTTCCAAGGCAGTATTCCTCAAACTGGAATCAAATCCTTCTTTCCTCCAAACTCCAAGAGCACTCTACATGCTTTCCCATAGCACAACTTATTGTCTACCCTGTATTAGAAATTCTTGGGCACATCTTATTTCCCCAAGGACAGGATCTGTGCCTTTATTCCTTTTAGAAGCCTACTAGGGTCTGGAATTCATTCAACAAGTATTTCTTGAACCAAATATGAACCAGTGCACAAACTAGTTATATTATTTTAACAAAGCTGTTTGATACTAAGATAGCACTGGTGAACTAAACAATATCTTTGCTTTGGGCTGAAATTTTATCTGCTCAGCAGAGTAATGATGTTGATTTCATATTAAGCAGATTATTACTGAGTTGTAAGAGTATTCTAGATACAAATTCCTTATTAGACATGATTTGCAAATATTTTCTCCCATTTTGTAGCTTATCTTTTCACTTTCTTGATAGTGTCCTTTGAAGCAGAAAAGTTTTGAATTTTGATGAAATCCTATAGAGATGGGGTCTTACTATGTTGCCCAGGCTGGTCTCGAACTCCTGAGCTGAAGTGATCCTCCTGCCTCAGCCTTCCAAAGTACTAGGATTACAGGCATAAGCTACCATGCCTAGCCTAATAGTTAATCTTTTGCTCTTGTGCATTTAGTGTGTTATTTAAGAAGGCTTTGCCTAACCTAAGGTCATTAAGATTTACTCATATTTTCTTCTAAGAATTTTATAATTTTAGCTCTTACATTTATATCTATGATCCATTTTTAGTTAATTTTTGTGTAGGGTGTCAGGAAGGAATGCAAAGTCGTTCTTCTGCACCTGGAGATCCAGTTGTCTCAGCACTGTTTGTTGAAAAAGACTATTCTTTCTTGGTACCTTACATTAGTCATTTATTATAAACAAAGGATACAGATGAAGAGATGTGAAGGGCAGGGTATAGGGGAAGGTGTGGAGAAAGGCACAGGGAGCTTCTATGGCCCCTCCAGGTGTGACACCCTCCAGGCACCTCCATGAATTCAGCTATCGAGAAGCTTCTATACTTGAGTTTCAATTATACTGGCTCCCCAACTTAATCCAGTGAATTATGAAAATTAAAAAACTTTTTTTAGGCAGGGTCATCTCTGCTGCCCAGGCTGGAGTGCAGTGGCATGAACATGGCTCACTGCAGTCTTAACCTCCTGGGCTCAAGTGATCCTCCTGCCTCAGCCTCCTGAGTGGTTGGGACCACAGGTCCATGCCAACATGGCCAGCCCTTTTTTTTTCTTTCTAATGTTCCCCATCTCTCCAAGCCAGTTAATTTAAAAGCTTTTTGTAGAGGCAGAATCTCACCATGTTGATGAGGCTGATCTCAAACTCCTGGCTCAAACAATCCTCGCATCTCAGCCTCCCAATATGGTGGGATTACAGGCATGAGCCACCATGCCCTGCCAATTTGAGACTTTAGATCAGATATATAACCCAAGTTTTACTTTCCTCATTTGTAAAATATAGATTAATACCACTGACCTCATAGGCTATCATAATGATTGAAGGAAATTACATAAACTTAATACGTATTATGTGTCCTTCCTCCTTAGCAATTTGTTGTTGTATTTCCTACTGAAGAATTCTTTTCTAGTTTCTGCATTTCAAATAGGACTAATACTTCACTAATGTCAAGAAAATGACAAACCCCACATTTGATTCTGCCTAGAGATCGAATGTACAGCATACAGGGGGTACATAATAACATTTGTTCAACTGGCGTGGGGTTAGTTGGAGATGGATTCTTGGGGTACACAAACCAAGTCACCTGGGAGAGAGATGAGATGGTCTGGGCTCTCTGTACTGACATTATCCGCAAAAGCAATTATTAGAGATTTCATTTTCTTTCTGAACACAAGAAAAACATTTACGCATTATCATTAACACAGCCAAAACCCTAATGGAAGGTTCTTAACTATAAAACTTTCAAAATTTTTCATTTTACTGTCTAACTTCATGAGGATAGACACCATGTACTATAAACTTTGGTATTCATGACACTTTTAACTTGGTAAGGACTCCCTAACTACCTACTTAAAAAAAAACCCTGAAAAACAAAAAGAAACAGTGCCAGGTGCTATGGCTCACTCCTGTATGTGAGCAGTTGAGGAAGCCAAGGTGGGCGGATCACCTAAAGTCAGGAGTTTGAGACCAGCCTGGCCAACATGGCAAAATCCCATTTCTACTAAAAATACAAAAATTAGCTGGGCATGGTGATGCACGCCTGTAATCTCAGCTACTCAGGAGACTGAGGCAGGAGAACTGTTGGAACTTGGGAAGTGGAAATTGCAGTGAGCCAAGATCACACCACTGTATTCCAGCCTGGGTGACAGAGCGAGACTCTGTCTCAGTTAAAAAAATAAAAATAAAAAAACCCAAACCCGTACTTTTGTATTATGCCCTTCTGATCAACTCGACAATTCTCATATTTGTTGATAACTACATGTTAACCATGGATATCTAGTGAGAAACCTAAGATTGAACAAATCTGACCTCGGAGCCTCAGGTAAGTAAATTAAGGAAACCAGAATCCTAAATAGGTTACTAGAAAGGTAAATAAACATCATATCAATACAGGCATGAATGAAATGTCAAGGCGCACGCCATTAAACCACCAAGAACTCACAGAAGCAAAGGTGCCAATCTGTTTGATATTCTGTTCATAGCTCTGTGAGCTGGTGGGACGGCCGGGGGTTCTCCTGGAGTACCAGAAAGTGTAGTTGTACTGCAGGGGGTGCTCTGCCGGTCCAGGGACAACAGCCTGGGAGGGAAGTAAAGAAGGCGTGTGAGTCCTGGCATTTGCCACATTGTCTGAGACTGACAGAACAATTTACAGTGTCAATCCTTACCACTCCCACAATTAAAAGAGTAAATACAACCTTAACTACCTGCAATGTGCCCACGATTCTGCTCACACAGTACATTTCCTCAGTGGTTAACTGATTCTAAATTCCTGTAACACTTGTGTTCTTATGGCCTTTGTAATTTTCTCCCTCATATAATACTAGGTATTCATGTTTGTATCTTATCTGAGCATATGCCTAGTTCAAGCACTGCCTCCTCTATAAGATTCATCACAGGCAAGTTACTTAACCTGTTTGTGTCTAATCTTCAAACCTGCAAATGAGGAAAATAATAACAAGAGGATCAAATGAATTAACAAATACATGATGCTGAGCACAGTGCCTGGCGCACAGTAAGTGCACAACAGATGTCAGCATTGTTATTATTGGTACTATTAAATGTAAGTCCCTGCCACAGTCTCATTCACCTTTGTGTCCTCTTAGCATCTAGCATAAAATGGCTTGCCCTTGGAGGGTTACTCAATATTGTAGAATAAATGAATTAGCGATTGCTTTGATATTTCAAGGAAAAAAATTGATCTCTCTCTCTCTCATTCACCAAGTTTTCCCTTTTCCAAATTGCTTTCACCTTAGACTAATGCTGACTAAAATTTCAAGGAGTGTGTAGGATTTGGAACCCTCAGCAGTGGCTTATGAAGCAGCTAACAACCTTGTGAAGCTCTAGGGCTAATTTCCCCTATGTCAGGCTAGGAGAATGCTGCAAGCAAGGCACCATCTCAAGATCCTGTGGTGAGAGAAAAGCTCTAGGTCTCAAAATGAACATCCATGATTGCACAGTGTTTTTCTGAGAACAAAGATATTCCAACACAGGATGCTAGTCAGGTTAATCTGGTATCTTCCAGATAAACAGATTCCATAAGATAATCAAATCTCAAGTTCAAAGGCAACTACATCTGTGCAGTGCAAAACTCACCTTTCTCTTGCTGCTGCTCTGACTCTTATCTCGCTCTGTTTTTTCCTTCTCACCATCTTTCGGTGTGCTGTTTTCTTCATTCTGGTCATGGTCCCCACTGTCATCATCTTTCAAACTGAATACAAAGGCAAAACAATACAATTCTGTGACCAAGTCAATTCTTACTTACCGAACAAAGCCACCAGGTCATATGAACTACTATGTAAACAACCCAAAGTCACTCAAATGCAGGCTCTGAGATGTGAGAAGGGCAAGAGAATACAGACAGGCAAGTTAGGAGGATTAAACAAAAATGAAATGCCCATCAGCTAACCTGTGAGCTCCAGAAAGCACTGCCTTTCAGTCTTCTAAAAAGCCACACGAAGAACCAGTTATTGACTGCTGGAGGTAGACAGTTTAAGGGATTGTTTTCCCTGCCAAAAATGGAGTAAAAAATGAGAAGAGTCTCTAGAAGACTAACTGCTTTGGCATTTCAAATGAAGGTTACAAACCTACTATCCACTTTGCCGCTTCTACACTTTTCCACCGTTACTACTTTAGGCTCTTCTCCTGACACCTCGATCATATAATAAATTCCTCAGTGGTCTTCCAGACATAAATCTCGTACTCTCTGTGCATCCTTTCACCAGCATTATCTTTTTTAATATACATTTTTTTAAGAGATGGGGTCTCGCTATGTTGCCCAGGCTGGAGTGCAGTGGCTATTCATAGGCGCGATCTTACTACTGATCAGCACAGGCATTTCGACCTGCTCCATTTACAATCTGGGCCGGTCCCCCGCTCCCGGGAGGTCACCACATTGATGCCGAACTTAGTGCAGACACCCAGTTGGCATAGTGCACTACAGGCCAGAACTTCTGGGCTCAAGCGATCCTCCCACCTCAACCTCCCAAGTAGCTGGGACTACAGGCAAGCACCACTGTGCCTGGCCAGTATTATCTTTTTAAGTGCAAATCTGACATTTAACTTCCATGCTTTAAACTTGTAATTGTCTCTTACCTTTTGATGCCTACCCTCTAAGATAAAGTTCAGCAAAATGTAAGACCCTCTAGAATCTGACTCCCGCCAGCCAGGATCCTCCTTCCTGCCTCCTCTAGCAATCTATATTCCCATATTGGTGCCATTTGCAAACACTACCCCTTCAGTCTACCATGCCATTCCTATGTCCGTTTTTCCTACTAGACAGAGGTCCTTTAGAGCAGTGTCTTATTTCATCTCGGCATCTCCAGCACCCAGGGCAAGATGCTGCCTTAACATGCAGCACTAGAAGATGCTGAATAAATGCTAAATCAAAAGGAAAAATAAATGACTGAAAAAGGAGTGAATATGTTCTTACTTCATAAGCAGTCAAACGTACTTTAGGGATTACCCTTTTATGAGCAGCGAAACTACTCAAAGGCTTTCAGGTACACCTAAAAAAATCACTGGATCCAGACAAAAAGATAAATGGAAAGATAATAAGAAAGCCATTTATTCTAGGGCTGGACGATTAACTCATCACAGATCTCTGAAATCATCTTTCTCGCCCCAATGACTGTATGTGTGGTCAAATGAAGTTAGGCAGTTCTCAAGAATGGTACTAGAAATGCTCCAATTATAATTCAGATACTATCCTATGCAGATACATAAACATGTTACAGAGTATTTTGTATTTGTGGTCTGTTTTTTTTTTTGCCCATGTATCCCCAGTGCCTAGTACATTAAAAGCACCCAGTAAATATCACAATGAATGAGCTAGTCACATGTTGGGGCTGATTAGCTCTGCCCATTTCATGCCCGCAGCATGCCTGCTCTGCCCATTTCACAGCCCTAGCTATAGAACATGCTCAGGAGGTTATGTTCTGTGCCATGAACCTTCCCATCCCCACCCTGGTCAAGACACAACTAGGAAGGGCACCTGACCAAATGGCAGTCCAGCCTGGGCAATAACCTATGTCCCAAGGCCTTGCTCAAAATATGAGCAGATTCGTCCCCTCAGCATTTCATCCAGGAGATGAAAGATCATACACTCAAGAGGTGAGGGTGCCATATGGGCCTCATGCAAGAAAAGCCCTGAGAGAATTAAGACAATGAGAAAAAGCAGAGAAAGCCAGTAGGAGGAAAAGAATGAAGCAAATGAGCAAAGAAAATGGAGAGGGGAGTTTCATTTTGCTGATACTGCTACCATCTCTCTGGCTTTTATTCAGCCTCCCTGGACATCCAGGAGACCATCATCTGTGCTTATGATATTCCCTTCCCCTTTATTAAACTTGAATCCATTTGGTTTCCTTTTCAAAAGGAGCCTGTCTGGCACACAAGATCGACAGATTAAAAATTACCAACATCTACCAAGCACGTATGGTGTATATGAGCTACTAGAGTGCTTGCCCCCAAGGACCTAGCTGAGGAGAAAGGGTACAGAGATACACCCACACCTCAGCATGGTGCAAAGGCCCCTGCTCTGCTCACATGTCCCAACATCATCTCCTTCCTGGTCCCAGCAAACTCCATTCACTCCAGTTGTATCACCGTAATTGTGGTGCCCCAATTTTATCCTTCTGTTAACGCTCATCATGTGATCTCTCCCCAAGAAGTCCCTCTTTGCCTAGTTATCTTGTCCTACAGGACTCAGATCGAGGGCCACTTTCTCTTGCAAATACTTCCTAACCTCTCCTGACCTAGGGTGAGTTGGAACTTACCCATATAAATGTTTGCACCTGTTCTAGCTATATGATCATGGTCAGTCTGTCTCCTGACATCTTAAGGGTTCTTCTGCTTAGGCCCAGGACAGCAGCTCTTAACTCTCTTCTTCGGGGCACACCCCTGGGATGCAAACCATTCTCCTCTCTTCTTAGCTTCCAAGTCCCACTATAGCCTCTGGGCTCCCTTGCCATTAGATCTTGGTTGGAACGGGGCACAGTCATCCCAGCATTTTGTTTTTGCTAGCTCCAAGAAAAGCATATACCTTCCTTTCTTTTTAGTGGTTTTGCTGCTGATCAGCACCAGGAAACAGGGAAAAAACAACAAAAATAATTGTCCGAGAAGAAACAATGTTCCTGTGATCCCTGGACCACTTTGGACTCCTTTCTAAGGCAGTAAACAGAAACCTTAATGGACCTACATCTAGTGCTTTCATTTGAGGATGGAGCTAACCAACCACTCTGTCGTCTGAGCGGATGTTTAAGGCAAATCTTTTATATCCAATTTTCCATAAGCTACTCTTCCCAGCTTCAAGCTGGATTTCAGTCAAGATACAACTCAGACTGAAAAAATCAGCGCTCCATGAGCTCAGGCACTCAGTTAGCATCTCTGAGGCTGTCCAGATTGAGAGGCACTTAAGTCAGCTTGCTAAGCTTCTGCCCAGGTATCTCCTCACCCTCTGAACTAGACCAATTCCTTGTGGGTAGGACCTTAGTTCAATTCATCTTTATACCACCACCATCAGACAGTGGCATAAAACAAATCCCTATTTAATGAATGGTCTCTAGAATCAAAGCAATGAGTGCCAAATAAGTGGTTTAGACAATAGTTAGGAAGGGGCCCAAAGTTAACGATACAGAGTAAAAAGCAAATGACATAGAATAGGGACAAAATCAGTATAGTTGTCTAGATCTGAAAACCATGTTTAACAAAGTCAGGACTGCAGTTTTTGTGATAGCATCTTAGGGTTTTACATATCAATAGGATCAATGGCAATGTGATCTAAGGACTTGGCAAGTCTACCCCTTCTCCACGAAAGCAATTACAATAAAAGGTTTCATTCAGAGAAGTTGAGTCTATACAGTAATGGAGAGTAGAGCTACTCTTTAATCTGAGCCCACTAGATTATGTACTAAGCTCCAGCCACTGGACTTCTAGGCTTCTGACAAACTGAAACATGTCCTCAGGAGCAATGTGGTAAAGAGTGAAGATTAGTAAGGAGAGTAACGTGGTAAAGACTCCAAATATACAGCAATGGCCTAAACACCACAGAATTTCTGAATGAAAAACAACATAAAAAAATAAAACTAGGGCCAGGAGCGCTGTTTTCAATTGCTAATTTCAAATGAAAGAAAGCTTGTTTTTCATTTTCTTTCCTGCAATGCTAGAGGGCAGATGTTAAAAGATTCTGGCTCAATGTAATAGTTAATAATTCAAAGTAATTAAGATGACCCAGGTTTTTCATTAAAGACATAAGGAAAAAAAAAGGCCAAATATAATTTTTGTCTCAAGGTGCTTGAACCAAGGTTACACCACAAACCTGGGAGAGCGCTTCCTGTTACTTAACCTCAGTCTCATTTTCCTTATCCATAAAGGAGATAACAAGATCCCCTTCAGAATTGTTAGAGTAGAAATAACATGAGACTGGGGGCGGTGGCTCACCCCTGTAATCCTAGCACTTTGGGAGGCCAAGGTGGGTAGACCTCTTGAGCCCAGGAGTTTGAGATCCTGGGCAACAAGGTGCAACTGTCTCTACAAAAAATACAAAAAAATTTAGCCAGGCAGGGTAGCACATGCTTGTGGTCCTGGCTACTCTGGAGGCTGAGATGGGAGGATTGCTGGTGCCCGAGAGGTCAAGTGGGCAGTGAGCTGTGATCACACCATTGCACTCCAGCCAGGGGTGACGGAGTGAGACTCTGTCTGTAAAAATATATTTATATGAAAAGTACCTAGCAAGATCCCTGTGGAAGTCCATTATTACCATTCTTACTGCAGACCCCCACATGATTTGGGTAGGCTTAAGCTAGATGACCCATAAAACGTCTTCTTAGGATGAAATTTGATTTGTTCAAATCAGTGGAGGAAGGGGAATAAGGGTCCCAGAAAGCTCCACTTAGGCAGGATTTGGATCTGAAGCTGGGTGTTGCACGGTTTACAAGAGAGATGAAATGGGGTGGGAGTGAGGGGAGAGGTTCGTATAGGATGGGCTCAGTTAAACAGCAGGATAGAGAAAAGACTTTCTCAAATAGCAGAGACATCTCGGCAGCCAGGAAACATTGCTGAGGAGCCATCTGCCTGGAGTGTTGGAAATCCAGTACTCCCTGAATTTGCACAGTACTCGCTGTATTGGAAAAAAACCCAATTTCCCGTCAATAGCACCAGGTCACAACCTAAACTAATAGTAATTCCACTTTACGGTTATATCGCAATAGTTAGCAATGTTCACAAGTATCTTTAAGCACTGCTGAGTGTGAGTTGACCCTTCTCACACCCCGGTGTGGCAGCAGGATACTATCCACTAATGTGGTTTAAGCAACAACGACTCAGAGACTGGGTAACTTTTCTGCAAACAGCTGGAAAGCGGTAAGTCTGAGACTAGAAATCCAGGTCTTCGGATGAAGAGACAGATTTACTAGAAGAGAGTAGGAGCATATTCTACCTCAAGATACAATCCTTGGAGGGGGATAAGTAAAAATACTTTTGCATTTTCTCTCTGTACCTCCAAACCGTTTGATGCTGAAACTAGGAACCGGAGAGGGCAACAAGTATACCTAGCTCTGGGCGAATGTGTAGGAAGATGGGAACCGGAGGGGGAGGAGAAAGAAAGTAGAGTCTCAGGAATATCATTCCTAAGCGAGCCTTCCACTGCGCCGAGCGCAGCAGCCACGTTACCTCCCTGCATCCGCTAAACTCTAAGACACAGGCTGTTACCGTCCCCACTCTGCAGATGAGAAAACTGAGGCTCAGAAGGGAGAGGGAGTGTGTGAGGAAAGCTAGATTCAAAGGCAGTGCGGCCAGACTGCGGAAACACCCAAACCGCCGAGGTCCCCACCCCTCCACGTCGCCGGCAACCCGCATCTTCGGGGCGGGGCGTCCGAAAATCTCCCCCTACAGGGCGGCACAGCCACCCCTTCCCCACGCCCAGCTCTTCGCCCTCGGTCCGGACGGCCCTGGGGTCCCAGGAACCCCTGTAGCCATCGCTCCCCAGCCCCCTCCTCCCCTCCAGCCCAGGCCAGGTCCGGCCGCTGCCGGATCCCGGGAGGGAAGCCGGTGCCGCAGGCTTTGCACCTCCTCAGCCCCAGTGGGGGCGGGAGCGGGGAACGGTTGGAGGAAGGGGCCCCAGGGGCGGCCAGGAGCCACTCACGCGTCGAACTTGTTGTTCATCCTCTCGCCGCCGCTGTCGCCACTGCCTCAAGGAGTGACTTCCGCTCCACCGGGTCCCTCAGCCTTAGGCCCGGCTACTTCCGGTTTTGCGCGAGGCGCACCGGAACGTCGGCGCGCAGGCCCGGCTGGGGGCTGCTATCCCGGGACGCCAGCCCGGGGCGGCTGCGCAGAGGGCTGGCCTAGGCAGCGGAGCTGACTGCTGGCTTCAGGTTTTTCCCAGTCCCGGTGTTTGTGAGCCGCCAGTTCTCCTAAGGGAGCATGTCCTGGCACCCTCCCGCAGCGGCTCGGAAAAAAGACAGCACCGCGGTCGTTGACGGCGCGGACTCTGGACTCGCTGCTTTGGTAAAAACCCTCCTCCTCCTCCTCCAGTGCGGGACGCACCCTCCGGCATCTCTCTTAACCTCCCCAAGGCTTTCCTTTGGCGGCGGCGCCACTCTATTATGGTATTCCTCGTTTTATTGCGCTTTGCAGATAGGGCTTTCTAAAAACAAATTGAGGGTTTGTGGCAGCCCTGAGCCCAGCAATTGTATCAGCGCCATTTTTCCAACTGCGTGTGCTCACTTTGTGTCTCTGTGTTACATTTTGGTAATTTTCAAAATATTTCAGACTTTTTCATGATTTCTGTGTCTGTTATGGTGATCTGTGATCAGTGATCTTTGATGTTGCTATTGTCATTGTTTTGGAGTGCCACATACTGCATCTTTTATATTTTATAAGACAGCGAACTTAATGTTGTGTGTGTTCTGACTGCTTCACCCACAGACTGTTCCCCATGTCCCTCTTCTTGGGCCTCCCTATTCCCTGAGACACAACAATATTGAGATGAGGCAAATTAATAACTCAGCAATGGCCTCTAAGTGCTCAAGTGAAAGGAAGAGTCGTACGTCTCTCACTTTAAATCAGAAACTAGAAATGATTAAACTCAGTGAGGAGGGTATGTCAAAAGCTGAGATAGGCCGAAGGCTAGGCCTTCTGCGGCAAACAGTTAGCCAAGTTGTAAATGCAAAGGAAAAGTTCTTGAAGGAAATTGAAAGTGCTACTCCAATGAACACACGAATGATAAGAAAGCGAAACAGCCTTATCGCTGATATGGAGAAAGTTTTAGTGGCCTGGTTAGAAGATCATACCAGCCGCGACGTTCCTTTAAGCCAAGGCCTAACCCAGAGCAAGGCCCTAACTCTGTTCAACTCTATGAAGGCTGAGAGAGGTGAGGAAGCTGCAGAAGAAAAGTCTGAAGCTAGCAGAGCTTGGTTCATGAGGTTGAAGGAAAGAAGCCGTTTCCATAACATAAAAGCACAGGGTGAAGCAGCTAGTGCTGATGTAGAAGCTGCAGCAAGTTATCCAGAAGCTTTAGCTAAGACCATTGATGAAGGCGGCTACACTAAACAACAGATTTTCAACGTAGAGGAAACAGCCTTCTATTGGAAGAAGATGCCATCTAGGACTTTCATAGCTAGAGAGGAAAAGTTAGTGCCTGGCTTCAAAGCCTCAAAAGACAGGCTGACTCTCTTGTTAGGGGCTAATGCAGCTGGTGACTTTAAGTTGAAGCCAATGCTCATTTACCATTCTGAAAATCCTAGAGCCCTTAAGAATTATACTAAATCTACTCTGCCTGTGCTGTATAAATGGAATAGCAAAGCCCGGTTGACAGCACATCTGTTTACAGCATGGTTTACTGAATATTTTAAACCCACTGTTGAGACCTACTGCTCAGAAAAGAAGATTCCTTTCAAAATATTACTGCTCATTGGCAATGCCCCTAGTCATCCGAGAGCTCTGATGGAGATGTACAAGGAGATTAATGTTGTTTTCATCCCTGCTAACACAGCATCCATTCTGCAGCCCATGGATCAAGGAGTAATTTCGACCTTCAAGTCTTACTACTTGAGAAATACATTTCATAAGGCTCTAGCTGCCATGAATAGTGATTTCTCTGATGGATCTGGGCAAAGTAAATTGAAAACCTTCTGGAAAGGATTCACCATTTTAGATGCTATTAAAAACATTCGTGATTCATGGGAGGAGGTCAAAATATCAATATTAGCAGGAGTTTGGAAGAAGTTGATTCCCACTCTCATTGATGACTATGAAGGGTTCAAGACTTCAGTGGAGGAAGTAACTGCAGATGTGGTAGAAATCACAAGAGAACTAGAATTAGAAGTAGAGCCTGAAGATGTAACTGAATTGCTGCAATCTCATGATAAAACTTTAACAGATGAGGAGTTGCTTCTTATGGATGAGCAAAGAAAGTGGTTTCTTGAGATAGAATCTACACCTGGTGAAGATGCTGTGAACATTGTTGAAATGACAACAAAGGATTTAGAATATTATATAAACTTAGTTGATAAAGCAGCAGCAGGGTTTGAGAGGATTGACTCCAATTTTGAAAGAAGTTCTACTGTGGGCAAAATGCTATCAAACAGCATCGCATGCTACAGAGAAATCTTTCATGAAAGGAAGAGTCAGTTGATGCGGCAAACTTCACTGATGTCTTATTTTAAGAAATTGCCGCAGCCACCCCAACCTTTAGCAGCCACCACCCTGACCAGTCAGCAGCCATCAACATCAGGGCAAGACCGTCCACCAGCAAAAAGAGTACGACTCACTGAAGGCTCAGATTGATCATTAGCATTTTTTAGCAATAAAGTATTATTAAATGTAGGTATGTATATTGTTTTATTAGACATAATTGCACTCTTACTAGCCTACAGTATAGTTTAAAAACAACTTTTATATGCATCAGGAAACCAAAAAATTCATGTGACTTGCTTTCTTGTGCTGGTCTGGAACTGAACCTGCAATTTCTTTGAAATGCCTATACCTACCTCCTTAGGTTGCTGTATGGATTCCATGAGTAATGGCAGCTAATGTTAACCTTTGAGTGCTTACTGTGCAAGGAGCTAATCCTCTGCCCTCTGAGGCTTTTAGAGAAGTCGAAAGACTTATGCCAGATAACACAGCTAGTTAGGGGCTTATGGGAACCTGAAATGGCCCCACTGTCACCAGACTCCCTCCCTGACCAAAGTTCTCCCCCGCTCTCCCTAACCCCTCTAGGACTCTAGGGCTCTGACTCTGCTCTTACTTCAAACACACTGCACATGCACCCCCACAGACACGCACTGGAGTAGATAAAATGAACCTGCTGGTGATCGAACCTCAAAGACAGCAATCCTGTGCTTGGAGGAAGGGCATATTTCCAAGCTTCCTTCTACCGCATAACCTGTTGTCAAGCCTTTATGTGGCACTTTTACATAAAAAAAAAAAAAAAAAAATTGTAGTTTTTTTTTTCTTTTCTTTTCTTTTTTTTGAGACAGAGTCTTGCTGAGTCACCAGGCTGGAGTGTGCTCACATGATCACAGCTCACTGCAGCCTAGACCTCCTGGGCTCAAGCGATCCTCCCACCTCAGACTCCTGAGTAGCTGGGACTACAGGCTAAGTCTTGTATTTTTTGGTAGATACCGGGTTTCCTCGTATTTCCCAGGCTGGGTTTCTGGGTTCCTGGACTCAAGCAGTTCACCCATGTTGGCCTCCCAAGGTGCCTGGATCACAGGTGTTAGCCACCACTGATAAGGGAACAGGCTCAAGGAGCATAGGTGACTGGCCCAAGGGTGTCCCCTGGTCACCAGCCAAACTCAAGTGCCCGCTGTAATCTTAGAGCAGGACCTTGCCTCTCCCCTAGGAAGACCTCAGCTTACTGCCCTATTACCTGATTAGTGGGGTCAAGGGAGACCAGTCAAAGTCTCCTCCTGGAATGAAGAGCTCAGTGGCTCTGTGTTAACTTCATGCCTCCTTGCCTAGCTCTTCCTTGTCCTAACCATGCTTTGAGAAGAAGGGCCTGTTTTTCAGGCCATAGAATCTTAGAGTGTCAGATTGGGTCAGAGTCAGGAATTTTGGACTTCAAATCTTGTTTAACCGCCAGTGTTTTGTGGAGTCTCTCTTACTCTAGGCTCAATTTGCCTATATAACATGGGGAATAATGACACTTGCCCATACTGCTGTGCAGAGCTCTTAAGTAAAAAGGAGGCCAGATACAATGGCTTATGCCTGTAATCCCAAGACTTTGGGAGGCCAAGGTGGGAGGATGACTTGAGCTCAGGAGTTCAAGACCAATCTAGGCAATATACAAAACCTCATCTCTACTAACAATTTAAAAGTATCTGGGTGTAGTGGTGCATGCCTGTAGTGCCAGCTACTTGGGAGGCTGAGGCTGCAGTGAGCCGTGATGGTGCCACTCCACTCCAGCTTGCGTGACAACAGTGAGGGTCTGCCCCAAAGCTAAACACAACAACAACAAAAACTAAAAAAGGATCACAAAACTCAGGAAATAGTCTTGGGGTCAGTGGCAGAAGAATGCCCATGAATGGAAAGGCCACTGGGGCTGTTGAGAATTGGGTGCTTATTGTACCAGCAGGCAGGGGAGGGGGATGCCAGCTGGCATGGGCTTCTACCCTGCTTTTGAGAAAGCATCGGCTGCTACTCTTCACACCTCTCTTGCCTGCTCTCTTTCAGGGAGAACTTGTAAAAAGGGAGCCAGTCCCAAGCCTGAAGGTATCATACAAAACAGAGTCCTTTAGGCTTCGGATTGATGGGAATTAATAATACTTTGCCTAAGTGAGGGGGTGTGCTGAGTACCGGAGTGGCTGGTGCTAGGACAAGCTAGCCAATGCTGCGTGGGTGCTGACTGCAGCAGCACACTAACCATAGCCCACCCACCCCCAACCCACTCCAGGACTGTAGCTGGGACTCTTTCCCTAGCTTTTCTCAGGGCTGTTTGGCTCACACAGTCCTGAAGGGCACTTCCCAAAAAGCACGCTTATGACCTTGGTAGGAGAACATGGCTGACAAGACTCCATGTGACCCACATGTGTGACTCCCACATGTCCCAGAGTGGTTGGTTGGTTCAGTCTGGTGAGGGCAGGTAGGGGCGTGGATCTCCAGGGAAGGGCAGCGCAGGCACCCGGTTGTAGTGGGCCATGAGGAAGATGCCAGCCGTGCCACAGACGAAGAGCGAGAGCATGGCCAGGAAGCAGACGCGGTCCAGCACTCGGCCCACCAGGAACCACTCCTCATTTCCCTGAGGGTGGGAGGCAGGTGTAGGTTGACCAGCGGCAGGCAGCACCAGGCCTTCCCTGGGTCCTTTTCTCATCTTTGGGCTTCCAGCAGGCCCCTGCCCCTGAGGTGTACTCCCTACCCACTGTTCCTTTTCCTTTTTTTTTTTTTTGAGATGGAGTCTCACTTTTGCCCAGGCCAGAGTGCAGTGGCATGATCATGGCTCAGCTTACTGCAACCTCTGCCTCCCAGGTTCCTATAGCCACCCAAGTAGCTGGGAATACAGGTGCCCGCCACCTTGCCCGGCTGATTTTTTTGTATTTTTAGTAGAGACGGGTTTGTCATGTTGGCCAGGCTGGTCTCAAACTCCTGACCTCAGATGATCCACTCGCCTTGGCCTCCCAAAGTGTTGGGATTACAGGCATTGAGCCACGGCGCCCAGCCCCCTCTTTTTCCATCTCACTGACCTATCTTGGCCACCCCGCTCATCCTGTCTCCATCACAGGTCCAAGCCCAGATACTCACTCCACCCCCATCCCACCCTGACTCAGCTTACGTTTTCAAAGTGGCTCTGCTGGTGCCGGGCACGGGCAATGAGGTTGCAGGCTTCCACACAGGCCTGGATGGCTGGGGCGGCTTGCTTCAGGCTGCCACAGAACTGGCTCTGCCCTAACTCCGGGCCTTTCTCTGATGAAGAGAGAGGATAAGGTTTGGGAGTAGAATGGAGGAGAAACAGGCAGAGTAGATGGCCTCTCCTTAGGGACCCCAGCTCCTCTCTCCCTGACCTGGACACTTCTCCTGCACTCCTGCTGTGCCTGGCTCCCCAGCTGGGGTCCCGGGGGAGGAATGTCCTCAGGTACACCTGCTGTGCCTCACCTAGCTTCTGCAGTGCTGCTGCCACCCGCCCTTGCCTCTGCCACTGCTGGAAGAGGACTTCACTGCGAGGCAGGCAGAGGGCCATCTCCTCCCCAGTGGTGACCGACCATCCCGAGGAGCCATTCTGTAGCCGAGGCTGGGTGTTCTGCACAGCTGCCGGGGCCAGCGGGCGAATGTGCATCCTCAGCAGCTGGGGCAAGAGTCTCAGGAACACCTAGAGAGGGGGTGGCTTTACTAGGGCAGCCAGGCCTAGCTTTGGAGCAGAAGCTGGAGGTTGGCGTGAAGGGCTTGTGCAACTAGGGACTGGGGAGGCAGCATACCGGGTCAGTGATGTGGCCTTGGTAAAGCTTTCCGTACTGACATAAGCCTGGGTCCCCAAACTTCAGCGCACATCAGAATCACCAGGGCACTTGTTACAAACAGATTTCTGCCCTGCACCCTCATGCTGTTCTGGCCTAGAATGCCTGGGGCAGACCTGGGGATCCACACGTGCAGTGAAGGCCCCAGCTGGGGCGGCACATCACACAGGCTGCAGTCAGACTGCCCGGCAGACTCCTGCCTTTTCGACTTTCTTGTGCAGGTAACTCTGTTTACCTCAATTTCCTCATCTATAACTGGAGATGATATGGGTTTTATGAAGATGAAATACGTTAACATTGGTAATATCCCTGGCACCTAGTAAGCAATTTTATTACTGTATTACTGTAATCAATTTTGGTCCATGCTTCAGGACACACCCCAGATGGGTTTGCTGTGGAATGCTGCAGGTGAGGAGTATGGCCAGGGGCAGGCGAGAGGGAGGCATGGGGGAGTGGGCCTCCAGAGCAGGATGTTGGAGTGGGCAGAGAGGGTCCTTGCCTTTCGGACACCTCGGGCCATGGAGTGTGTGTGGGGAGACCGCAAGGACACGTTGAGCACGACCACAGCATTCACGACAATGAGGATGGTCACCACCAGGAGGAAGGTCAAGTACCTGTCGTGGTGGGGTGGGCAGGAGCTGGCAGCCCATACCATGATGCGACCCCTACCCTTAGTGGCTGCCCCACTCAGGCCTCCTGAATGGAGGATGGTGGGGTGGAGGGAGGGCAAGAGGGCAGTGCCAGAGGCCATTGTGCTCCCAAGAAGGGAAAGTGGGGTGGACGTGTGGGCATGAAGACCAGCCTTACTTGCTGATGAGTGGCACCGCCTGGGAGGTTTCAGGCACCTTCTTGGCCACAAGGAAGAGGAAGACGGTCTGGGCCAGGAGCACGTTGATGGCGACGGTACACTTCTGGCCTCCGGCTGCCCGTGACCAAGAGGCACTCAGAGCAGTTCCCTACCTCCCTGACCCATGGAGGAACCCCTTACCCCAGAAGTAGCCCACTGCCTCTGTCCTGGGTCATAGTGCCACTCTGTGTCCCAGGCAGGGCCGCCCCAGCCTCCCAGGTATCCCCCGTACTACTGGATGGCTCCCTCCCATAGGCTCCAGGTACCCTTGGCAGGAAGGAAGTAGATGAGGATGGCGACAGAGGAAATGAGCACGCAGGGGGCGATGATGTTGATGACGTAGAAGAGGGGCTTGCGCTGGATGAGCAGGTAGAACACCACCTTCTGGTGGCCTGCCTCCTGGGCTGGCGCTGCTGTGTCCAGGAGCATCTTGGCCGGTCGGTGCCGGATGGCCCATTCCCCATTCTCTGTGGGCAGGCAGGCAGGAGTGGGCACAGGGAGTGTGGGCCAGCCAGATCCCTACGGCC